GGCCATCTCCAGGGGTGATGGACAACCCCTTGGTGATGCACCAGCTGCGCTGCAACGGGGTCCTGGAGGGGATCCGGATCTGCCGCAAGGGCTTCCCCAACCGCGTCCTCTACGGGGACTTCCGCCAGAGGTGAGGACCTCGAGGTCCAAAGAGGTCCTCGGGGGGGTGGGTGGGAAGCCAAAAAGTGGTGGGATGTCTTCTTCTGCCCACCCAAGGTACCGGATCTTGAACCCCGCGGCCATCCCCGAGGGGCAGTTCATCGACAGCCGCAAGGGGGCCGAGAAGCTCCTGGGGTCGCTGGACATCGACCACGGGCAGTACAAGTTTGGTCACACCAAGGTGGGTCCCACCACCACCACCACCACCCAAGGACGACTGGAGGGCCACCAGGGCCACCAGATCTCCAGCAGGTCCTCCAGATCCACATCAGGTCCTCCAGGTCCCCACAAAATCCTCCAGATGCCCACCAGAACCTCCAGATCCCCACCAGGTCCCCACCAAGCCCTGCAGATCCCCACCAGGTCCTCCAGATGCCCACCAACCCCTTCAGATCCCCACCAGGTCCCTCCAGATCCCACCAGGTCCTTCCAGATCCCCTCCAGGTCCTCCAAATCCCCACCAGGTCCTCCAGATCCCCACCAACCCCTCCAGATCCCCACCAGGTCCTCAAGATCCCACCAGGTCCTCCAGATCCCCCCCAGATCCCCCCCAGATCCCCTCCAAGCCCTCCAGATGCCCACCAACCCCTCCAGATCCCCACCAGGACCTCCAGATCCCCACCAAACCCTCCAGATCCCCCCCAGATCCCCACCAGTTCCTCCAGATCCCCACCAGATGTCCACCAAACCCTCCAGAAGCCCACCAGGTCCTCCAGATCCCCACCAGATCCCACCAGATCCCACCAGATCCTTCCAGGTCCCCACCAGTTCCTCCAGGTCCCCACCAGTTCCTCCAGGTCCCCACCAGATGTCCACCAAACCCTCCAGAAGCCCACCAGTTCCTCCAGATCCCCCCCAGTTACCTTCAGATCCCACCAGATCCCACCAGATCCCACCAGATCCCCCCCAGATCCCTCCAGATCCCCCCCAGATCCCCACCAGTTCCTCCAGACCTCCACCAGATGTCCACCAAACCCTCCAGAAGCCCACCAGTTCCTCCAGATCCCCCCCAGTTACCTTCAGATCCCACCAGATCCCCACCAGATCCCTCCAGATCCACCTCCCCGTCCTTCCGCCTTCTCCTCACCCTCCTCATCCTCCTCCTTCCTCCCCACCCGAGGTCTTCTTCAAGGCCGGGCTGCTGGGGCTGCTGGAGGAGCTGCGGGACGAGCGCCTGGCCCGCATCATCACCCGGCTGCAGGCCCAGGCCCGGGGGTTCCTGTCCCGCCAGGAGTTCCAGAAGATCCTGGAGAGACGGTGGGTGGGGACCTCGTGGTGGTGGTGGTGGTGGTGGTCCCATTATGGTGGTGGTGGCCCCATGGTGGTGGTGGCCCCATGGTGGTGGTGGTTGTGGTGACCCCGTGGTGGTGGTGGTGATGGTTCCTTGGTGGTGGTGGTGGTGGTGATGGTGGTGGTGGTGACCCCATGGTGGTGGTGGTGGTGATGGTGGTGGTGGTGACCCCATGATGGTGGTGGTGGTGATGGTGGTGGTGGTGGTGGTGGCCCCGTGGTGGTGGTGGTGGTGATGGTGGTGGTGGTGGTGGTGACCTCATGGTGGTGGTGGTGGTGACCCCATGGTGGTGGTGGTGGTTCCTTGGTGGTGGTGGCCCCATTATGGTGGTGGCCCCATGATGGTGGTGCTGGCCCCATGGTGGTGGTGGTGGTGGTGGCCCCGTGGTGGTGATGGTGACCCCATGATGGTGATGGTGACCCCGTGGTGGTGGTGGTGATGGTTCCGTGGTGGTGGTGATGGTGATGGTGGTGGCCCCATGGTGGTGGTGGTGGCCCCATGATGGTGATGGTGACCCCGTGGTGGTGGTGGTGATGGTTCCGTGGTGGTGGTGATGGTGATGGTGGTGGCCCCATGGTGGTGGTGACCCCATGGTGGTGGTGGTGGGGACCTCGTGGTGGTGGTGGTGGTGGTGGCCCCGTGGTGGTGGTGGTGACCCCATGGTGGTGGTGGTGGTGATGGTGGTGGTGGTGGTGGTGACCCCATGGTGGTGGTGGTGGTGATGGTGGTGGTGGTGGTGGTGACCCCATGGTGGTGGTGGTGGTTCCTTGGTGGTGGTGACCCCATGGTGGTGGTGGTGGCCCCGTGGTGGTGATGGTGATGGTGGCCCCATGGTGGTGGTGGTGGTGGTGGCCCCGTGGTGGTGGTGGTGGTGGTGACCCCGTGGTGGTGGTGGTGATGGTTCCTTGGTGGTGGTGGTGGTGGCCCCGTGGTGGTGGTGGTGGTGGTGACCCCGTGGTGGTGGTGGTGATGGTTCCTTGGTGGTGGTGGTGGTGGCCCCGTGGTGGTGGTGGTGGTGGTGACCCCGTGGTGGTGGTGGTGATGGTTCCTTGGTGGTGGTGGTGGTGGCCCCGTGGTGGTGGTGGTGGTGGTGACCCCGTGGTGGTGGTGGTGATGGTTCCTTGGTGGTGGTGGTGGTGGCCCCGTGGTGGTGGTGGTGGTGGTGACCCCGTGGTGGTGGTGGTGGTGACCCCATGGTGGTGGTGGTGGTTCCATGGTGATGTTGACCCCGTGGTGGTGGTGGTGGTGGTGGTGGTGGCCCCATTATGGTGGTGGTGGTGGTCCCATTATGGTGGTGGTGGTGGTCCCATTATGGTGGTGGTGGTGGTGGTGGTGGCCCCGTGGTGGTGATGGTGATGGTGGCCCCATGGTGGTGGTGGTGGTGGTGGCCCCGTGGTGGTGGTGGTGGTGGTGACCCCATGGTGATGGTGGTGGCCCCATGATGGTGATGGTGGTGGTGGTGGAGGTGGTGGCCCCATGGTGGTGATGGTGGTCCCATTATGGTGGTGGTGGTGGTCCCATGGTGATGTTGACCCCGTGGTGGTGGTGGGTGGTGGTGGTGGTGGCCCCATTATGGTGGTGGTGGTGGTCCCATTATGGTGGTGATGGTGGTCCCATTATGGTGGTGGTGGCCCCATGGTAGTGGTGGTGATGGTTCCATGGTGGTGGTGGTGGTTCCATGGTGGTGGTGACCCTATGGTGGTGGTGATGGTGATGGTGGTGGTGGTGGCCCCATGGTGGTTCCATGGTGGTGGTGACCCTATGGTGGTGGTGGGGGCCCCGTGGTGGTGGTGACCTCATGGTGGTGGTGGTGGCCCCATTATGGTGGTGGTGACCCCATGGTGGTGGTGGTGACCCCATGGTGGTGGTGGTGGTGGCCCCATGGTGATGGTGGCTCCATTATGGTGGTGGTGGTGACCCCATGGTGATGGTGGTGGCCCCATGGTGGTGGTGGTGGCTTCATAGTGGTGCTGGTGGCCCCATGGTGGTCATGGTGGCCCCATGGTGGTGGTGATGGCCCCATTATGGTGGTGGTGGTGGCCCCATTATGGTGGTGGTGATGGTTACATGGTGGTGGTGACCCCATGGTGATGGTGGCCCCATTATGGTGGTGGTGACCCCATGGTGGTGGTGACCCCATGATGGTGATGGTGGTGGCCCCATGGTGGTTCTGGTGACCCCATGGTGATGGTGGTGACCCCATGGTGGTTCTGGTGGTCCCATGGTGGTTCTGGTGTCCCGATGGTGGTGCTGGTGGTCCCATGGTGGTTCTGGTGACCCCATGGTGGTTCTGGTGGCCCCATGGTGGTTTTGGTGACCCCATTATGGTGGTGGTGACCCCATTATGGTGGTGGTGACCCCATGGTGGTTCTGGTGACCCCATGGTTATGGTGGTGGCCCCATGGTGATGGTGACCCCATGATGGTGGTGGTGGTGGTGATGGTGGTGGTGGTGGTGACCCCATGGTGGTGGTGGTTACCCCATGATGGTGATGACCCCATGGTGATGGTGGTGACCCCATGATGGTGGTAGTGGTGACCCCATGGTGGTTCTGGTGACCCCATGGTGATGCTGGTGGCCCCATGGTGGTTCTGGTGACCCCATGGTGGTTCTGGTGACCCCATGGTGATGGTGGTGGCCCCATGGTGGTGGTGGTGACCCCATTATGGTGGTGGTGACCCCATGATGGTGGTGACCCCATGGTGGTTCTGGTGACCCCATGATGATGGTGGTGACCCCATGGTGATGGTGGTGACCCTATGGTGATGGTGGTGACCCCATGATGGTGGTGGTGACCCCATGGTAGTTCTGGTGACCCCATGGTGGTTCTGGTGACCCCATGATGGTTCTGGTGGCCCCATGGTGGTTTTGGTGACCCCATGGTGGTTTTGGTGGCCCCATGGTGGTTCTGGTGACCCCATGGTGGTTCTGGTAACCCCATGATGGTGATGGTGACCCCATGGTGGTGGTGGTGACCCCATGCTGGTTCTGGTGACCCCATGGTGATGGTGGTGACCCCATGGTGATGGTGATGGCCCCATGGTGGTTTTGGTGACCCCATGATGGTTCTGCTGGCCCCATGGTGGTTCTGGTGGTCCCATGGTGGTGGTGGTGACCCCATTATGGTGGTGGTGACCCCATGGTGGTGGTGGTGACCCCCCCACCTCCTCCCCCCAGCGACGCGCTGCTGGTGATCCAGTGGAACGTGCGGGCCTTCATGGGGGTGAAGAACTGGCCCTGGATGAAGCTCTACTTCAAGATCAAACCCCTCCTGAAGAGCGCCGAGACCGAGAAGGAGATGCAGGTGGGCCACCGTGACCAGGGGACGGGTGGGGACATCCAGGAGAAGGTGGCCAAGCGACATGGACGTTTTTTGGTGGACCCCCAGAGCATGAAGGAGGAGTTCGGGCGCCTGAAGGAGGCGCTGGAGAAGTCGGAGGCGCGGCGCAAGGAGCTGGAGGAGAAGATGGTCTCCATGCTGCAGGAGAAGAACGACCTCCAGCTGCAAGTGCAGGCCGTGCGTGGTGGTGGTGTCCCCAAATCCCCCCCAAAACCCGTGTCCTTCGTGTCCCCACCTCGTTGTCCCCTCCCCGCAGGAGCAGGACAACCTGGCGGACGCCGAGGAGCGCTGCGACCAGTTGATCAAGACCAAGATCCAGCTGGAGGCCAAGGTGAAGGAGATGACCGAGAGGCTGGAGGAGGAGGAGGAGATGAACGCCGAGCTGACGGCCAAGAAGAGGAAGCTGGAGGACGAGGGCGCCGAGCTCAAGAAGGACATCGACGACCTGGAGCTGGCCCTGGCCAAGGTGGAGAAGGAGAAGCACGCCACGGAGAACAAGGTGGGGACGGGGAAGGTCCAAGAGGGGGGGACCTGGAGTCAACAGGAGGGGGGGTGAGGAGATCTGAGGGGGGTTGGGTGGAGGTGACCCAAAATTGGTTGGGTTGGGTTGAGATGACCCAAGATGGGGTTTTGATGACCCAAGGTGGTTGGTTTGGGTGGAGATGACCCAAAATTGGTTGGGTTGAGGTGACCAAAGGGTGGTTTGGTTGGGTTGAGATGACCCAAGATTGGGTTTTGATGACCCAAGGTGGTTGGGTTGGGTGGAGATGACCCCAAATTGGTTGGGTTGGGTTGAGATGACCCAAAATTGGTTGGGTTGAGGTGACCCAAAATTGGTTGGGTTGAGATGACCCAAAATTGGTTGGGTTGGGTGGAGGTGACCCAAGGGTGGGTTGAGATGACCCAAGGGTGGTTGGGTTGGGTTGAGATGACCCAAGGGTGGTTGGGTTGGGTGGAGATGCCCCAAAACTGGTTGGGGTGGGTTGAGATGACACAAGATGGTTGGGTTGGGTGAAGATGACCCCAAAATTGGTTGGGTTGGGTTGAGATGACCCAAGATGGTTGGGTTGAGATGAGCCAAGGTTGGGTTTTGATGACCCAAGGGTGGTTGGGTTGGGTTGAGAAGATCCAAAATTGGTTGGGTTGAGGTGACCCAAGGGTGGTTGGGTTGGGTGGAGATGCCCCAAAATTGGTTGGGTTGGGTGGAGGTGACCCAAGGTTGGGTTGAGGAGACCCAAGGGTGGTTGGGTTGGGTGAAGATGACCCCAAAATTGTTTGGGTTGGGTGGAGATGACCCAAGGTTGGGTGGAGATGACCCAAGATTGGGTTCTAATGACCCAAGGGTGGTTGGTTTGGGTTGAGATGACCCCAAAATTGGTTGGGTTGGGTTGAGATGACCCAAGATGGGGTTTTGATGACCCAAGGTGGTTGGTTTGGGTGGAGATGACCCAAAATTGGTTGGGTTGAGGTGACCCAAGGTTGGGTGGAGATGACCCAAGGGTGGTTGGGTTGGGTGGAGATGACCCAAAATTGGTTGGGGTGGGTTGAGATGACACAAGATGGTTGGGTTGGGTGAAGATGACCCCAAAATTGGTTGGGTTGGGTGGAGATGACCCAAGGTTGGGTTGAGGTGACCAAAGGGTGGTTGGGTTGGGTGGAGATGACCCCAAATTGGTTGGGTTGGGTTGAGATGACCCAAGATTGGGTTCTGATGACCCAAGGGTGGTTGGGTTGGGTTGAGAAGACCCAAAATTGGTTGGGTTGGGTTGAGATGACCCAAGGTGGTTAGGTTGGGTTGAGATGCCCCAAAACTGGTTGGGGTGGGTTGAGATGACACAAGATGGTTGGGTTGGGTGAAGATGACCCCAAAATTGGTTGGGTTGGGTTGAGATGACCCAAGATGGTTGGGTTGAGATGAGCCAAGGTTGGGTTTTGATGACCCAAGGGTGGTTGGGTTGGGTTGAGAAGATCCAAAATTGGTTGGGTTGGGTTGAGATGACCCAAGATTGGGTTTTGATGACCCAAGGGTGGTTGGGTTGGGTGAAGATGCCCCAAAATTGGTTGGTTTGGGTTGAGAAGACCCAAGGTTGGGTTGAGGTGACCAAAGGGTGGTTGGGTTGGGTTGAGATGCCCCAAAATTGGTTGGGATGGGTGGAGATGCCCCAAGGTTGGGTGGAGATGACCCAAGGGTGCTGTTCCTCCCCCCGCAGGTCAAGAACCTGACCGAGGAGATGGCCGGGCTGGACGAGATCATCGCCAAGCTGACCAAGGAGAAGAAGGCCCTGCAGGAGTCTCAGCAGCAAGCCCTGGACGACCTCCAGGCGGAGGAGGACAAGGTCAACACCTTGGCCAAGGCCAAGGTCAAGCTGGAACAGCAAGCGGACGACGTGAGTCGTGGATTTCCACCACCCGGGGGCAGAACGTCCTGGGAGAAGGTCCCCCTGGTCTGGGGTGGACCTTTGGGGGGGGCTGATTTGAGGTCTCCACCCCGCCGGCAGCTGGAGAGCTCGCTGGAGCAGGAGAAGAAGATCCGCATGGACCTGGAGCGGGCCAAGAGGAAGCTGGAGGGCGACCTGAAGCTGGCGCAGGAGAGCATCATGGACCTGGAGAACGACAAGCAGCAGCTGGACGAGAAGCTGAAAAAGTCGGGCCCCAGCCACCCCCCCGCCCTCTCCTTGGTCCCTTTCCCATGATCCCTTTCTCCTGGGGCCGTGACGGGGTGGCGCGTGTCCTCCTGCAGGAAGGACTTCGAGCTCAACGCGCTCAACGCCAAGATCGAGGACGAGCAAGCGGTGGCCGGGCAGCTCCAGAAGAAGCTGAAGGAGCTCCAGGTCGGGGCGAGAGTGGGGAGGGGCTGGAGACGAAGAGCCTCCAAGGGTTGGGTTGGGTTGGGTTGGAGAGGCTCCATTGGTTGGGTTGAAGGTTCTCCAGATGATTGGATTGAGTTGAGTTGAGTTGGGTTGGGTTGAGTTGGGTTGGGTTGAGGAATCTCCATTGGTTGGGTAGAGTTAGGTTGGGTTGAAGGGTCTCCAGATGGTTGAGTTGGGTTAAGTTGGGTTGGGTTGGGTTGAAGGGTCTCCAGATGGTTGAGTTGGGTTAAGTTGGGTTGGGTTGGGTTGAAGGGTCTCCAGATGGTTGGGTTGGGTTAAGTTGGGTTCGGTTGAGTTGGATTGGGTTGGGTTGAAGATTCTCCATCTGGTTGGGTTCAGCTGGGTTAGATTGAGTTGGGTTGGGTTGAAGATTCTCCATCTGGTTGAGTTGGGTTGAGCTGGGTTGGGTTGAAGGGTCTCCAGATGGTTGGGTTGAGTTGGGTTGGGTTGAGTTGGGTTGGGTTGGGTTGAGTTGGGTTGGGTTGGATTGGGTTGAAGGGTCTCCAGATGGTTGGGTTGGGTTGGGTTGGGTTGGGTTTAGTTGAGTTGAGTTGTGTTGAAGATTCTCCATCTGGTTGAGTTGGGTTGAAGGATCTCCAAATGGTTGGGTTGGGTTGAGTTGAGTTGAGTTGGGTTGGGTTGAGTTGAGTTGGGTTGGGTTGGGTTGGGTTGGGTTGGGTTGAAGGGTCTCCAGATGGTTGGGTTGGGTTGAAGGTTCTCCATGTGGTTGGGTTGGGTTGAAGGGTCTCCAAATGGTTGGGTTGGGTTCAGCTGGTTTAGGTTGAGTTGGGTTGGGTCGAAGAGTCTCCAGATGATTGGGTTGGGTTGAGTTGGGTTGGGTTGAGTTGGGTTGGGTCGAAGGGTCTCCAGATGGTTGGGTTGGGTTGAAGGGTCTCCAGATGGTTGAGTTGGGTTGAGTTGGGTTGGGTTGAGTTGGGTTGAGTTGAGTTGGGTTGAGTTGAGTTGGGTTGAGTTGAGTTGGGTTGAGTTGAGTTGGGTTGGGTTGAGTTGGGTTGAGTTGAGTTGGGTTGAGTTGAGTTGGGTTGAGTTGAAGATTCTCCATCTGGTTGAGTTGGGTTGAGTTGGGTTGGGTCGAAGGGTCTCCAGATGGTTGGGTTGGGTTGAGTTGGGTTGGGTTGAAGGGTCTCCATCTAGTTGGGTTGGGTTGAGTTGAAGGGTCTCCAGATGGTTGGGTTGAGTTGAGTTGAGTTGGGTTGGGTTGAAGATTCTCCATGTGGTTGGGTTGGGTTGAAGGGTCTCCAGATGGTTGGGTTGGGTTGGGTTGAGTTGGGTTGAAGATTCTCCATGTGGTTGGGTTGGGTTGAAGGTTCTCCATCTGGTTGAGTTGGGTTGAGTTGGGTCACCTTGGGAGCACCCCTCTCACGTCCTCCTGGTCCTTGGTGCCCAGGCGCGCCTGGAGGAGCTGGAGGAGGAGCTGGAGGTGGAGCGGACGGCCCGGGCCAAGGCGGAGAAGCTGCGGGCGGAGCTGGGCCGGGAGCTGGAGGAGCTGAGCGAGCGGCTGGAGGAGGCCGGTGGGGCCACCACGGCCCAGGTGGAGCTGAACAAGAAGCGCGAGGCCGAGTTCCAGAAGCTTCGGCGGGACCTGGAGGAGGCCACCCTGCAGCACGAGGCCACCGCCGCCGCCCTGCGCAAGAAGCACGCCGACGGCGCCGCCGAGCTGGCCGAGCAGGTGGACAACCTCCAGCGGGTCAAGCAGAAGCTGGAGAAGGAGAAGAGCGAGCTCCGCCTGGAGCTGGACGACGTGGGCTCCAACCTGGAGCAGCTCCTCAAGGCCAAGGTGTGGTGGTTGGGCGTGGATGGAGGTGGGAGGAAGAGGAGCGAGCCTTCCTCGGCTCCTCTTCCACCTCCTGGTGTCTTCTCCTGTCCTCCTAGGCCATCCTGGAGAAGACCTGCCGCTCCCTGGAGGACCAGGTGAGCGAACACCGCAGCAAGGCGGAGGAGACGCAGCGCGCGGTCACCGAGCTCGGCGCCCAGCGGGCCCGGCTCCAGACGGAGAACGGTGAGGGCCACCTTCTCCTCCACCCCACCACCAACCGAGGACCACGCGGGGTCCCACCGGTCGTGATGTCTCCTCTGTCCGCCCCGTAGGAGAGCTCTCCAGGCAGCTGGAGGAGAAGGAGGTCTTCATCACGCAGCTGACGCGGGGGAAGCTGAGCTACAGCCAGCAGCTGGAGGACCTCAAGAGGCAGCTGGAGGAGGAGACCAAGGTGAGGCTTCATGGGGGAGGTTGGGGTGGGGTGGGAGGTTGGGTTGGTCCTCAAGGGGTTGGGGTGGTCCTCAAAAGGTTGGGTTGGTCTTCAAGGGGTTGGGTTGGGAGGTTGGGTTGGTCTTCAAGAGGTTGGGTTGGTCCTCAAGGGGTTGGGTTGGTCCTCAAAAGGTTGGGTTGGTCTTCAAGGGGTTGGTGTTCAAGGGGTTGGGTTGGTCCTCAAGGGGTTGGGTTGGTCCTCAAGGGGTTGGGTTGGTCTTCAAGGGGTTGGGTTGGTCCTCCAGAGGTTGGGTTGGTCTTTGAGGGGTTGGGTTGGTCTTCAAGGGGTTGGGTTGGTCCTCAAGGGGTTGGGTCGGTCCTCAAGAGGTTGGGTTGGTTGGTGGGTCTCCACGGGGTCATGTTGGCTTGGGTTGGTCTCCAGAAGGTTGGGTTGACTTGGTTGGTCTCCAAAAGTTTGGGTTGGTTGACCTAGAACCGGTCGGGTCCATCTGGAGGAGGTCGGGACCATCTAGAGAAGGTTGGGTTGGTGGACCTAGAACCAGTTGGGTCCACCTAGAGGAGGTCGCGTCCATCTGGAGGAGGTTGAGACCATCTAGAGAAGGTTGGGTTGGTTGACCTAGAACGTTTTGGGTCCACCTAGAGGAGGTTGGGTCCATCTGGAGGAGGTCGGGACCATCTAGAGAAGGTTGGGTTGGTTGACCTAGAACGGGTTGGGTCCATCTGGAGGAGGTTGGGTCCATCTAGAGGAGGTCGGGTCCATCTGGAGGAGGTCAGGACCATCTAGAGAAGGTTGGGTTGGTTGACCTAGAACCGGTTGGGTCCATCTAGAGAAGGTTGGGTTGGTGGACCTAGAACCGGTTGGGTCCACCTAGAACCGGTCGGGTCCATCTAAAGAAGGTTGGGTTGGTGGACCTAGAACCGGTTGGGTCCATCTGGAGGAGGTCGGGTCCATCTAGAGAAGGTTGGGTTGGTTGACCTAGAACCAGTTGGGTCCACCTAGAGGAGGTCGGGTCCATATGGAGGAGGTCGGAACCATCTAGTGAAGGTTGGGTTGGTTGACCTAGAACCGGTTGGGTCCACCTAGAGGAGGTCGGGACCATCTAGTGAAGGTTGGGTTGGTTGACCTAGAACCGGTCGGGTCCATCTGGAGGAGGTTGGGTCCATCTAGAGGAGGTCGGGTCCATCTAGAGGAGGTTGGGTCCATCTGGAGGAGGTTGGGACCATCTAGAGAAGGTCGGGTCCATCTGGAGGAGGTCAGGACCATCTAGAGAAGGTTGGGTTGGTTGATCTAGAACGGTCGGGTCCATCTGGAGGAGGTCGGGTCCATCTAGAGGAGGTCGGGTCCATCTGGAGGAGGTCGGGACCATCTAGGGAAGGTTGGGTTGGTTGACCTAGAACCAGTTGGGTCCATCTAGAGGAGGTTGGGTCCATCTGGAGGAGGTTGGGACCATCTAGAGAAGGTTGGGTTGGTTGACCTAGAACAGGTTGGGTCCACCTAGAGGAGGTTGGGTCCATCTGGAGGAGGTCGGGACCATCTAGAGGAGGTTGGGTTGGTTGACCCAGAACGGGTTGGGTCCACCTAGAGGAGGTTGGGTCCATCTGGAGGAGGTCGGGTCCATCTAGAGAAGGTTGGGTTGGTTGACCTAGAACGGGTTGGGTCCATCTGGAGGAGGTCGGGACCATCTGGAGGAGGTCGGGACCATCTAGAGAAGGTTGTGTTGGTTGACCTAGAACGGGTTGGGTCCACCTAGAGGCGGTTGGGTCCACCTGGAGGAGGTCGGCACCATCTAGAGAAGGTTGGGTTGGTTGACCTAGAACGGGTTGGGTCCATCTGGAGGAGGTCGGGTCCATCTAGAGAAGGTTGGGTTGGTTGACCTAGAACGGGTTGGGTCCATCTGGAGGAGGTTGGGTCCATCTAGAGGAGGTCGGGTCAATCTGGAGGAGGTCGAGACCATCTAGAGAAGGTTGGGTTGGTTGACCTAGAACGTTTTGGGTCCACCTAGAGGAGGTTGGGACCACCTTGAGGAGGTCGCATGGGGTCGCTGGCCCTCCACCAACCCCGCTGGCCCACCACCATGTTTGAGGACCTCCAGGAGGCCCCACGCGAGGTCCTTTGGGTCTTCTCCTCCCCCACCCCACCCCACCCCAGGCCAAGAACGCGCTGGCCCACGCCCTGCAGTCGGCGCGCCACGACTGCGACCTCCTGCGGGAGCAGTACGAGGAGGAGGTGGAGGCCAAGGCCGAGCTCCAGCGGGGCCTCTCCAAGGCCAACTCCGAGGTGGCCCAGTGGAGGACCAAGTACGAGACGGACGCCATCCAACGCACCGAGGAGCTGGAGGAGGCCAAGTGAGTCCTCGCCCACCTCCGTGGATGAAGGTCCAGGAGGTCCCCACCCCACCGCTGAGGAGGTCCTTGTGGTAGGAAGAAGCTGGCGCAGAGGTTGCAGGAGGCCGAGGAGGCGGTGGAGGCCGCCAACGCCAAGGGGGCCTCGTTGGAGAAGACCAAGCAGAGGTTGCAGAACGAGATCGAGGACCTGACGGGGGACCTGGAGAGGGCCAACGCGGCGGCCGCGGGGTTGGACAAGAGGCAGAGGAACTTTGAGAAGGTGGGGGG